TCGGGAACTCCTAGGGGGCTCGCCTATGCACTCCCTCCGCTGAACAGGGCCGAGGGACGGCGACGCATTAAACCGACCCCAGCACAACCCCTTTTCAGCCCTCCTCGACGCGGCGCGGCACGGCCCAGACGTCCGAGGTCCGCAGGGAACCCGAGAGACGGCCCTCGCCCCAGGAACTCGAAGCCAACCGAAGCTGGCGGGAGGCCTCCGAAAGCCTCTGAAGCGTCTCGGCGCCGAGGGAGGCCTGAATGGGGGGGGTCCTAAAGAAAAGTCTAACCTCCAGGGCCCCATCCGAGTACTCGAGGATCGGGGAGAGGGTCCGAGCCTGGAGGGCGAGGAGGGTTCCGTCTGGGAGGCGGCCCTGGAGGTACAGCTCAGCGGTGCGGCGTGAGCCATTAACGGATTGCAGCCTGAAGCGAGCTGGTCGACTCAGAGCTCGTCTTCGTCCTTGTCCCTGTCGTCGGGCGCCGCTGCTGGTTTGTCCTTCATCCCCAGCTGCGCCAGCAGCTTCGAGGCCTCGCGTTCCAAGCCGCCTCTCGGCGGCGCCCCAGGGAGAAAGCGCACGGTCTGGTCCTTCTTGTCTGTGCCTGCCGCCATGACCGTCTGCTGAACCGCCTCCATCAGGGAAGCTGCGCCGTCGCCCCATGGGTTCGCCTGTTGCGGGATTCCGAGCATGATCTGGAGCTTGAACCTGTCGGGCTTGGAGAGCTTCTTCTTGTCGTACCAGCAGGCTTTGAGTCGGAAGTGGCGGCAGTGGATCGCCAGTGTCTCGAGCGCCGACGGGGCGAGGATGACCTTCCGCCAGTAGTCCTGGAACACCGTCTGCGCTGCCGCTGGAGTCGTGTTGGCCCCGTCCGTGCTGCAGGCCCACTTGATGAACGCCTTGAACACGTGCGGCCAGGGGGGGCCGTGCTGGTGGTCCTTGCCGTCGGCCTTGCAGTTCTCGGCGTACGTCTTGCCCGTCTCCTGCAGCACCTTGACGAACGGAACCTCTGCCCCGACCATGCACGAGGTGAAGCAGGCGCCAGTCACCTCGGCCAACTCGCGCGCGTTGGTGAGAGCGAGCTTCGTGAGAACCACCAAGAGCGCCGCCAGCGCTCCTCCCTTGCCGTTCTTCTGGTTGGCCTGCGCCTCCTGGCCGAGCTCCGCGAGCAATCGGGCCTGCTTGGCACCCTTGGAGTCGCTGGTCCCCTGGCCCTTGCGTTTCCCGACTGCCCAGTTGGGCTCGTCGAGATCCATCACCTCCAAGCGCGAGCGGGAGGCCCTCGAAGTGGATGCGCGTATGGAGGTGAAGAGCAGACTCGGAAAGAACTTGAGCCTCACATAGGCGGCAACGGAATGGGCCTGTCGACGGAGAGAGCTCGAGAGTCGTGCTGAGCTGAACCTTGCAGAAGCCCGAAGCGAACGAGTCCAGCACGTGGTTGTAAGCCGAGTTGCGAGACTGGAACCTGCTGCCACAAACGAAGCACGAAGCGCCCTGGACAGCCTCAGCCAGCAAGGTTTTGTAACCATGAGCGGCCCGAACGTGAACCAGCCACTGACGTTTCGTGGGGAACCATTTGGCGCAGTTCCCGATGGAGCAGCGAAAGCCCTCACCTTGTCCTGCGGGGATCTCAGGTGGTGCCTCTTGATGGGGGCCAGAGGTGCCTGCAGGGGGGATGCTGACCGAGAGCCACGCGGCCCTGACGACCGAGAGGTCCAACTCCGTGAACCAGTCCCGCAAGTCCCCCTCCTCGAGAAACTCCAAAGGGGCTCCTGACCAGGAACGCATATCCTCCTCGGTGTCCGCAGACGTCCTCCGAAGCGCCTCGAAGTCCCTGACGTACTGGATGGCCCAGGGGTTCGCCGTCTCCGTGAGATGGCCCTCGGGTGTAAGGGTTCGGAGGCCTCGCAGTTTCTCGATGTTCATGTCCCCGAAGAGAGGGGCCCACTCGCCTAGATGTCGTGCGGGCTCTCGAGCCCATTGCTGGTACCACCGCAAACGTCTGACACGGAACTCGATTTCGAGAGGAGGGACCCGCCAGTACCTCAAGACCGCCTCGGAAGGGACCGAACGAGCATGCCCCCCCTCCCAAGACGTCGCGGCACCCCTCATAGCTTTGCGCCCGAAGAAGACGACCCGCGCCGTGAGCTGGTCAATCTGGTTGGGGGTCGGCAAGAAGGCCTCGCAGGCGGAACACGCAGGACCCACAACCCTGGCAAGGAACACAGCGCGGCGCTCGGTATAGGCGATCCTCCGAGCGTACCAATACTTTCCCATAGAGAAGAAACCCGCAGAGATGGCCGCCAGGCGGGCCGAAAGCTCGGCCCGAAACGAACAGTTACCCATGACCTGGCCTCCAAGATGTCGGGTTGAATCGGCTGGGACCCCTGCGAGAAGAACCTTTTTTTTCCGCCACTTCTCGCCGCCGTGCATGGAGCCCCGTGCCCACGAAGGACAAGAGGCTGACGTTCTTAGCTGGGTTGAGCGCATAGCCGTGACGTCGGAGCTCAGACGAAAGAAGCAAGTCATATGCTCGGGACCACCGCGCGAGCTCCGCGGCCGTAGCCTGGTCAGGCGGCACCACGATCTTCCGAATGGCGTCATCTACGTATGAGTGAAAAGCCAAGTCCAGAAGAATCTCCTCGCCATCAAAATTGAGCGCGAGCTGGCACCAGGTAGCCGTCTCGGGGCCGAACTCCGCAAACTGTTCCTGCACCTTCGCAGAGACGGTGCTGATGTCCCGAACAAAGACCTTCACCGCCCACGGATCGCCTATGAGAGCCCCGACGCTGGGGCGCACGCAGAGGTCGCCAAACATCACGGCAGCAAAGCGGAAGCGCTGGCGGCCGAACGAAACCTGGTCGTCCTTCATGATGCTCTGGTTGGCGGCTGCGAGGCTGTCCCAGTTGGTGGACGCGAAGGCGTTGGTAATGTCCTTGAGGTCAGTGACGTGATTGAGGCCGAGAGAGCGCAGCTTCCATGTGCACAGCTGCTGGCCCAAGATGGCCGTCTCTCTGCGCCGATGAGGTATACAGCCGTGAGCGAAAAGGGGTTCGTCCTGGAGCTCATGCGGGTCCATCGCCGTGGCCATGAAGCCCTTGCCGAAAGGGTCGAGGAGGTGAATGACTCTCTTCCAGGTGAGCGCCACCCCTTGGCTCAAATGCCACACGAGCGGGACCTGGCCTGAGCGTCGGAGCCTGTGGAAGAAGATCACCAAGAAACGCCACGTATGCTCCTGATCGATCTGCGGTGTCTCATAGCCAACTCCGTGGAAGCGCCTGGACACACGACGGTGCGGGTGAAGCAGCATCCACCATAGTTCAAGCGGGACCGACCACGGCGGGCAGGCACGGCGCTTGGGGGCCCGTCGTAGCCAAGCGCGAAGTTCGCGGAGGCGGAGCTTAGCCCAACTCAGGCCCTCCTCGGTCCACGGCGCAATGAACTGCTCCGCCTCCTGGCCAGTGACGTCGTGGTACACGTAATCCTCAGCCTGCTGGACCCAGTCGATGTGAGTGGCTGCCATGCCACCTTCGCCAGCCGGCAGCGACCAGCGCTCGGCCAGCTCCTCTCCAGTGGGGAGGGCCACAGGCGCCCGTCGGTAGTCCCTCTTGCGGGGGCCCACGCCAGTGCCAGCCAGGAGTCGTGAGAGGCGAGCCACCTCAGCACTGCGTCCATGACGTCGGGCCTCATTGAGCTCGTCGACGGTGTCGATGCGCCACGTAGCCCAGTACTGTCTGCGAGCCGAGCGGAGCCACTTGGTGTGGCGTCGGAGCTGCCACTGCACGGAGAGGAGGGCCAGCGCGCCGTCGGCGTTGTCCGAGAAGTAGTCGTCGCTGAGCTGGAGTCGGAGAGCCCGCTGTTGGTCCAAGAGCGGCTGGATGGTGGCGGCCAGAGTGCGATACCCAGGGCGGTACTCAGGGGCCTGAGCGAAGTGCTTGCTGCCAATGGTCATCATAGCGTCCATCATGAAGCCCCAGTCGGCGTTAGGTGTCTGCTCCTCGCGTTGGATGGTGGCCCACTCGTCCGAGTGCTCGCGTAGGTAGGTCTCGAGCTCAATGAGGAAGGCCGCACGACCTTGGCCCGAGCGAAGAGACTGCATGAGGGCCCCTCGGTTCCAGCGGATGGCCCGCGGCAGGTAGCCCAGGCGGCGGTGCTCCGTCATGTCGCAGTGAATGTGAGAGTCCGTGGTGGCCGCGATAGAGTAGTGCATGCAGGCGTGGACTGGGACGTGGTCCCTGGGCTGGCGAGTGGCGATAACCTGCAGCTCGCGGCCCAGGCGACGGAGCGGCCCAGCCGAGGTGATGTCGCCCAGGCAGGCCTTGGGCACGAAGGTGAAGTCGATCTGCGAGGCCGTGGTCGAGCCGAAGAACGTCGGGCCCAGACCTATGTAGCTGTTGACCGCCACCATGCCGAGCTCCTCCATGAGGGGCAGGATGCTGGTCGCGGCGTAGCGCTGCTTGTCCTGCGCCAAGGGGCCGCTGACGTCGGATGTAGTGGGTCGCCACAGAGGGTCGCCGTCAAGCTGGCAAAGTCCGAGCCCCGAGTTCAGGTCGATACAGAAGATGGGGAGGACCCGCTTGGAACTGAGGTAGGGCAGCGAGCGGAGCCAGTCCGTGAGCGCGTCGCAGGTGCGGCGGTAGACCTCCAAGCCGCCCTTGACAGGCGGCGGTGGGTAGTAGGCAGAGCAGACGCCCAGATCGTACGTGGAGCACCTTGCACGAAGCGCTAGCCCACGTCCCGCCAGAGAAGCTGCGGGCGTCCAGGTGTGCGTCACGGAGGACTTCTTCACTTTGGCCCCGAGGAGAATGCTGCAGCCAGCGCTTTTGTTGGTATACGGCCCTCGGGCCCACCCACTTTCAAGACACCAGTTGTGATCTCCTGCCTTCCGCCATCGTGCCTCCCAGGGCCTCTCTCGACCGTGGCCCTTGGCCGTCGTGCCGTTCAGACACACGAAGTCGTACGTTCGGCAGGCCTGCGCGATCGCGGTGAGCCTCTCACCGCTGGACGCGTGCAAGGGGTTATACTGGAGTACGCGAAGGCGGCTGCCGACCATCGCGCGAACGAGCAGGAGCCAGCAGCCCACACTGAGACATCTAGAAGCCATCAGCAACGAGGTAAGATGTGAGAGGGATGTCTCGGAAAAGAGGCATGTGGGTGGTGTGGGAGCTGGGCGCCTGTCGCCCTGGGCATCTGTGTGGGCACTCCTGACCCAGATGCCTTGGAGGAGGAGGAGGAGGAGGAGGAAGCATCTATGATGTTGGCGCTCTCATCCCTAGACGCCCCTGCCATCGAAGTATAACGAGCGCAATTTCGACAATCGTCCAACCAACGATCTTCCTTCGTAGAAATCCTGGGCGCACCGAGCCGCTCGAGCCTGGCGTCTGGCAGCAGCAGGGCGGGCTACGTGCGCACGGTCTTGCCATTGCCAAGGGGAGGCGGCAACGGCTGTGACGCGACAAAGGATTCAAATAATTATTTGTCGGCTACGCGGCTACACGTAAGAGCGACCATGGGCAAGCGTGACCTCTGGTGCAAGGCCTCGGGGAGGCCTAACCGGGGCGCGCAAGCCGCTGCAGCTCAACTGACTTTCACCTGGACACCTGGCGATAGAACATACTGCTTACAGACATCGGCTGCCCAAAACTGTTTGGTCTTAACGAAGTTGGGTCGTCTTCTGGCCCATCCCATCCAAGCCGAAGTCCACACCCGAGCCCGTCAGGAACCTTCGCTTGACGGCGAGACGGAGTGGCAGGTGAGCCCAGGTCAACGATATGTCTACGCATCATGTCATCCATATCATCAAACTTCTGGGACAAGTCATCGCACACCACGCGCAGTGATGCTAAATCAAGAGCCTTTGCGTTTCCCCGCAGCATGATCAAATTGTCAACAAATTCTTCAGGCTCGATCTCCCCAGTACCGTCCCGGTCCAGAAGAAAGAATACCTGGGCAGTGCTCGCGACATCAATGCCGTTGGCCCGCAGAAAAGCCCGCACTTTGTCGTCTCGCATGAGATCGTGCAGCTCCTTATAAGAGACCCTGTTTGACATGTCTTTGTCTGCCTCGATGAACCATTCCACCATTTGTTCTATGAGAGCCCTAGTCTTGTATTGGGTACTCTGGATAGCCAACTCCTTGTTCGTCTGGGCGGATTCGATGGCAACGGTAACGAACACTCCGTTGAGAATGTCCAAGATACAAAGAACAGTGAACGTAATATACGCTAAGAAGAACCACGTGTAAGAGGGTTCGATGTCCCTTAACGTACTGGCCACGTCTCTCCAATCTCCACCAGTGATAACGTTCAACAGAGTGAATAAGGTGTCTCCTGGGGATCCAGAATAAACCTCCAGTTGGAGAATTACCAATGGATCGGCGTTGTCTCTAACAATGTACGACTGCAACCTCTGCATGAACATTAGACCAAAAACGTACATGACTACGAACAAGAGTGTGATGGCGGACATGAACGCGTTAGCACTTCCAGCCACAGTACAGCTGAGCACCTTCAGGTTGTGAAATAACCGGGATTTCGACACTTTCAAACTTCGTGCCAGGCGCGCAAGTCGCCATACCTTGAAGAGGTTGATGTAAAGCTCGGCGCGGTACCAATCACATCAAGCAGGGTGGCCACCACCGTCGCAGTAATAGTGACGCAATCAAACAAATTCCACCACTTCTGACTCCCACGGTAAAATTTCACCTGGTATGCGAAAACTCGGGCTATGAGCTCACTGACGAAGATCAGTGCGAACGCCACATCTCCAACCAGCCAGCTCCTCTTGGCTCTCGCCGCGCTATCCTGGTCATCCCGGGTGCTGCGCATGACCATCCAGGTCTGGGCTCCCATATAGACCGCGTTGAGAAGAATCACAGTAGCCATGGCGTAATCGAAGTTGTGGTTGCGAACCCACTTCAACTTTGCCTTCAACTTTTTCGCGCCCCTGAATCCAAAGTAGTTCATGTTGGGTGACCGCCTCTCCAGGTGTTTCTGCATGAGCTCCGCGGCGATCTTCCTGTTGGACTCGGACGCCCCCGTGTCCATGCCGAATTGTTCCTTCAGCGCCTTGCTGCCGCCAAACCTCTGAGAAACCTCCCTGGAGACAGCGCTGGAGGTCACCGACGCCCTCGCCGACACCACCTCATCGGCGACGCTGGCCTCCTGGGAACCGGCCCCGAGCTTCAGGTGGGGGGGTTCCTGGCCCCAGGAGCCGTCCGTGCCGCGCGGGGAGCCGCCCGCGGCGTCCGCGGCGCCGTCCGCGCGCGGCTCCCGTCCGGAACGCGCGGCCCTCCCCCGCAGCGTGGCGTTCTCGCGGCACAGCCTGACGCACTCCTGCCGCAGCTGCCGCAGGAGGCCCTCGAAGTCCGCGGCGCCCTCCGCGCCCGCGCCCTCCAGGGGGTCGTGGCCGGGTCCAGGCCGCCCGGCCCCGTCGCCGCCCTCGCCCTCGCACGCGGCCGTGGGCGGGCCGCCGCCGCCCTCGCCCTGGCCCCCCGCGGCGCTCGCGCGCCGGGGCGGCATGGGGCCCGGGCTGCTGCGGGCGGGCGCCTGGCGCGACCGGTCAAGCGGCGCCCACGGGCGCCGCGCAGGCCTGGCGCCGACGCGCGCCCTGGAGCCAGAATGGCTTGAGCCAGGAGGAGGAGGAGGAGGAGGAGGAGGAGGAGGAGGAGGAGGAGGAGGACCTTCCAAAACGGCCCCTCGACGGCCCCAAACGAGAGACCGCGTTGTGGCAAGGCGGCGCAGCGATGCACAGCGGCCTGCACACGGGACGCGCCTGCCGGAGCGCGGGCCTCGGAGTCTGCTCTCCGCCGCGCGCCCGTCGAGGAGAAGAGGACAGGACGGCAAGGACACGATGAGAAATAGTATGAAGCGGGAGGAGATGGAGGAGGAGGAGGAGGAGGAGGAGGAGGAGGAGGAGGTGAAGGAGGAGGAGGTGGAGCAGGAGAAGGAGGACCAAGAAGGAGGAGGAGGAGGAGGAGGAGGAGGAGGAGCTGCTGCTTTTGGCATTTCGACCGGTATGTCGTCCTCCTTCGCTCTTGTTGTGGTGCACTTGCTCATCATTATGTGTTGTGGTCATGCTATGGTCGTGTTGCCCCTCCTCCCTTACAGGCTGCTTGCTTAGCAACTTGCCCTGTGCCCGTGCAGGCATATCGTCTTGTTCCGTCTATGTGTGCCCATTGCTATGTCCGCACTTGCCTGCAACTTACGATGCTGGCCACTGCGCCTAAGTCGTGCTTATGCCAGGCGATGTTTTGCTACCACCCTGACGTTACGATCCCAATCGATCTAAAATTGCCGACCGTCAGAAGGAGGATGGGGAGAAAAGACGGACTGTGGAGAAACGGAAAGGTTCCGCTACCGCCACAACCCGGACCTCTCCCGGGGCGCGCTCTGACCAAGATTTCGAGGCGAGGCTGGCCGTGGCGGCGAGGGACTGGCAACGGCATCGGCATCCCTCTCTCCTCTTCTGAAGAAGAAGAAGAAGAAGAAGAAGAAGAAGAAGAGAAGAAGACGACGAATAACAACGGCAGAAGCATAAACTTTTGGCGCTCCGCGCGGAATTCTTGGATTTGCACTGACCCCCCTCCCTGGCGCGCGGAGCGCGCCAGGGGCGGCGCCAGAGGCGCCGCCAGGGGGTCCCAGCGCGGATCCAAGAAATCCGCGCGGAGCGCCAAACGTTTATGCTTATGCCGTTTGTTTTGTGGATGCCACGACAATGGACACCCTGACAATCCTATCATTGAATTTAAACTGTGTTTGAGATGTCAGAAAAGTGGTCTAAACACGTCTTACACACGCTTTTACATGTTTGAGCATGTTTAACATAGGTTTTAGACATTTAGGAATGATTTGGTAACATGCTTTGACGGGCCTGTTTTCCACCACCACCACTCAAGTTGGAGGGGGGAAGGAGGAGGAGGGCGAGGAGGAGGAGGAGGAGGACGAACAGGAGGAGGAGGAGGAGGAGGAGGAGGAGGAGGGAGGAGGGAGGACCCCCCCCTCCAACTTATGGTGGTGGTGGTGGAAAACACGCCCAGCATGCTTCCTCTCCATTGATCGTCCTCCACAGCGTTTGCTCTTCTTCGGCTCCTGGAGTCGAGCCGGGCCCCGGGGCGGAGGAGGGCGCCTGCGAGAAGTACCTGGCCTTGACCCAGAGCGCGAGCCAGGCCAGGCCGAGGGCGCAGAGGGTCAGGAGGCAGATCCTGCCGGGCAGCGCCGCGGGAGGCCACCGCCAAGAGGTGGCCGCCACCTCGCCCGGAGGCCGCGGGCGCCTCCCAGGGGCACCCAATGGTCCCGAGCCCCCTCGATCCTCGCTCCTCCTGGACCCTCGATCCTCCTCCTCCTCCTCCTCCTCCTCCTCTTCCTCTTCCTCCTCCTCCTTACTTACTCCCTTCTCATCGTCGTCCTCCTCCCTTCTTTCCTCCTCCTCCCTCCTCCTCCTCCCTCCTCCTCCTCCTCCTCCTCCTCCTCATCATCATCATCATCATCATCATCATCATCATCATCATCATCATCATCATCATCATCATCATCATCATCATCATCATCATCATCATCCCTCCTTTCCTCCTTTCCTCCTTTCCTCATTTCCTCGTTCTCCTCCTCCTCCTCCTCCTGCTCCTCGATCCTCCTCCTCGATCCTTGAGCCTCCTCGCCCAGGGCCCCCCCTACGTAGCGGTGGCCCCCCCCCCCCCCCTTATTGCGCTGCCCGAGAGTCCTGGCGCAGATGCTCATGAAACGCGGCGTCCTCCGTGCGCGCCGGGGAGGGGGGAGCAGCGAGGGAGGGCGACGCGGCAGCAGGGGCAGAAGCGGGAGGAGAGGGTGAGATAGGAGGAGGGAGGAGGAGGAGGAGGAGGAGGAGGAGAGGAGGAGGAGGAGGAGGAGAGGAGGAGGAGGGAGGAGGAGGAGGAGGAGGAGGAGGAGGAGGAGGGAGGAGGAGGAGGAGGAAAGGTGGAGGAGGAGGAGGGAGGAGGAGGAGGAGGGAGGAGGAGGAGGAGGAGGGGAGGAGGAGGAGGAGGGGGAGGAGGAGGAGGAGGAGGAGGAGGGGAGGAGGAGGAGGTTTTGGGAGGAGGGGATGCGCGGGCGGGAGGGTGGCAGAGGAGAAGCGACGGCACAAACGTGGGCTCTCCCTCCGAGCTCCGCGCGGTCTCCCCCGGATCGGCGCTGGGCCCCCCTGCCCGGCGCGCTCCGCGCGCCAGGGAGGGGGCTCTGGCGCCGGCCCGAGCACTCCGCGCGGGCTTCTGTGAAGGGAAATTAGGACACACAAATAAATACACACAAATAAAAAGAGTCCCCATATTTTCTCATATTTTCGGGGTTTCTGTCTTCCCCCCCACTTCCCATATGTTCCCATATTTTCTGGGAAATCGGCAATTAATTGTGTCTGTGTTTTTTCCCCTCCTGATTCTGGAAGTTCATGTTCATGCAGCTTTTCTTCTTCGAGAGAGGGCAGGCGAGGGGAGGGGAGGTGACAGAGGAAAGGGAGGGCTGGAGAGAAGGGGGGGTCAACGGAGCAGGAGGTCACTGGGCTCTGACCGCGAGATGCCCACAAGCGCCGGGAGGCGGAGGTCTCACAACCGCCAGCGGGAAGGCGCGCAAGAGGTGCTGCCACGTGGGATGCAGGCTTGCAGGATGCCTCGAGAAAGCGCCCTACAAGGCATACGGCCGGACCTGGGACCGAAGAACACCCTTCAAGAACACGAGACCCTCCGCCGGCCCGAGCTGAAGCACATCCGAGGGTGCCCTCCCCCAGGATGCACAGGAGCACCGAGCAGGCGCGAAGCACATCGGAGAACCCTCCCCGAAACGACATGAGGGGGGTCTCTATATATTGAACTACATACAAGGGAAAAGCGACAAACGAACGGATTTTCCTGAATACTGAAGTCCCTTTGTTATCGACAAACAACGCGACATGAAGAAACACACCCCACCGTTCTCGAACAAGGACAAACAAACTCGCATATTGACGTGAACTACCCTACTCAAACGGCGAACAACACATACATCAACCTCTAAATACTAGCTTTTCGGGATGAACACATAACTGGAGAAAATAATAACACTTCCACGCATACCTGCGAACTTTAGATGAATAGTTTCCTGAATGAACCCGTGCACAAAAAAAAACATTCCACAATTCCTGATACGAATCGGGGCCAATGGGGCCCCACGCGCATTCCTTTCGAAATGTTCGTGCTTTTACCTCTTGGATTCGGTCTTCGAGCCAGGATCGCCGGCCAGAAAAAAATCCATAGAACTGGTTTAAAAACCATTTGTTTTCCAATAGGAACAGGGGCCGATGGGGCCCCACGCGCATTCCTTCCAAAATGTTGGCATTTTATCTCTTGGATGTTCTTTTGTCTCTGAGCTGGGATCGCAAGACCCCCCAAAAAAAGAATATTCGAAAATCCCCAATCCAGAGAACCGGTCAAAAAGCCATTGGTTCTCAAATAAGAATCGGGGCCGATGGGGCTCCACGAACATTCCTTCCAAAATGTTGGTGCTTTACCTCAGGTGAATTGGTGGCCGCGACGAACAACGGCATGAACCTGGATGACTTACCCACTAGCGCCGCGTGGCGGACGAACGAAGGGGCGAACCTGGCACTACTTACCTGCCTGTAGCCGAATAAATCCCTCTCATGAAACGACCTCGACCTTAGATCTCGGGCCGGCCGTAACACCGTCACCTCCCCCGAGCCCACCTCTGCCCCCCCCCCCCCCCCCGCGACCCGCGCAGGGCGCGGCGCGCCCGGTCCGCCACGCAGCGCCGTGGGGACACCGGGACGGCGCCGTCTCTCGCTTTCTCGCTCTCTCTCTCTCTCGGAGGTTGTGGGCTCTCTGGCGTGCCGGCTGCTGGGGAGCCCTGTGCCGCGGGGCGGTGCAGGGCCTGCCCTGGACCCGCCGATCGGAAGAGGATGGAGCATGAAGCACACCCTGCGAAATGCTTTAGAAATCATGGGTTAAGAAATTCATACTCTCAGAATTTGAAATCAAACCCAGAATGTCTATTCAAATGTTAGGATTTACATTGAAGCATTAAGAATAATCGAGACCCTGGCCGAAAACTTGGGTTTTCTTAAGCATCGCCTGGAGTGTAGGCAGGCGGATCGAGCAGATTGGGCTCGGGCCCGCCCAGAGAGTAGCCGCACACAGCCAAAGCACATCAGCTCTTGAAGTAGGGCGGCGCTCGAGGCAAATTGGGATCTGGGCCTCCGAACAGATCTCCTGTCATCGACCGGCGTGCCACCTTCGACGGTGAAGGCTCAGCCCTGTCCGCTCGAAGTGTCCAATCCAATCCTACAGGCGGCGGTAGTGGCGGCCCTCCTGCGGCCCCGACCTTTGGTGCGCTGCTTTCTGGGGGCCGCGGGGGGGGTGCAAACAAGGGCGCGCAAGCGCCGCTGTTACCGCTTCGCGCTCAGCGATCGGGGGGACCCCATTGGTCGAGCAGGAGACAGACAAAGTAATTCATGCACCCCAGAACTGATTTCTTCGTCAAATCTACAAATGAAGATGTACTGTGTTCGTAGACCTACGAAAACACCATTCAACGATCTCCGACTCGGACGATTCTACAGGCTTACGCCACATCCGCCGACCCCTTCTGTGAGTGTTGCGAGGCCAGGAGTTTCTGGCCTGTGTGAAGATGCGGTGTCGCACGCGGGTGGTGGCAGATACGTAGGGGGTCCAAATGTTTGCGTGATGCCGGTGGTCTGGGGCGTGTTTTGCGAGCGCTTTGCGTGCTGTGCACCCGGGTGCGGGGTGTCCTTCTGGGAGGTCGGCCTTTCGACCCGCAACCAAGTGGTCCACCGGAAGACGAAAGGAGCAAGAGTAGTGTGCGGAAGCTGTGATCAGCGAGGCATCACCGCGAAAAATGTGGCAGGTGAGTCGAAACGGGTGAAGAGGCTGTTGACGTTCGCAGCGCGCACGAAACAATTCGCGCGGCAGCAGCACATTAGCGCCGAGCAAGATAGTGAGCACGTCGCGAGGAAGAGTAAGGCTGTATGCGCGGAGTGCATTGCAGTTGACGTGACGGCTCGCAATACGGAAGCGTCTGGGGGTCTTTTGGGGGCCTCCTGGGGGCCTCTTGTGGGCTCCTTGGGGCGTCTTGGCGGCCTCTTGGGGGCCTCTGGCGGTCTCTTGGGGCACTCTTGGGGCCCCCTGGGGCTCGTGGGGGCGGAAAGCTAGATGTTTGAATTTTTGGTTGCCCTCTTGGGCCCCTCTTGGTGCCGTCTTGGAGTCTTCTTGGGCCGTCTTGGGGACCTCTTGGGTCGTCTTGGGGCCATCTTGGACCGTCGCGGGGTCGTCTTGGGGGCCCCTTGGGCCGTCTTGGGGCGGTCTTCGGGGCCTCTTGGGCCGTCTTGGAGCGTCGGAAAGCCCAGGAGGCGAATGTGTGAACATTGTACATTTTACAAAGGAAATAAGCAAAGTGTTGCGTCCAGGGACCCTCTTGGGACGCATCTTGGAGGCCTCTTGGGGGCGTCTTGGGCCATCTGGAGGCCATCTCGGGTGTCTTCGATGGCTCTTGGACCGTGTGGGACCATGTTGAGCTTTCTTGGAAGCCACTTGGAGCGCTGCTGGAGCGCTCTTGGGGCCGTTTTCGGGGCTCTCTTGGGCCGTCTTCGGCGCCTCTTGAGCCGTCTTGGGGGCTTCTTGGGCTGTCTTGGGGTCCTCTTGGAGGCTTCTTGGGCCGTCTTGGGGCGGTCTTGGGGGCCTCTTGGGCCGCCTGGGAGCGGCGGAAAACCCAAAAGGCGAATTTGTGAAACATGCACGTTTTACGAAGGGAACGGGCTAATTTTTGCGTCTAGAGGCCCTCTTGGGACGCATCTTGGATGCCTCTTGGGGCCTCTTGGGGGCATCTTGGGCCGTCAGGAGGCCATCTTCTGTGTCTTTGATCGCTCTTGGACCGTCTGGGACCATATTGAGCTCTCTTGGAGGCCACTTGGAGTGCTCCTGGGGCGCTCTTGGGGCCGTCTTCGGGGCCCTCTTGGGCCGTCTTGGACGCCTATTGGGCCGTCTTGGGGCCCTCTTGGGCTATCTTGGGACCCTCTTGGGGGCTTCTTGGGCCGTCTTGGGGCGGTCTTCGGGGCCTCTTGGGCCGTCTTGGAGCGTCGGAAAGCCCAGAAGGCGAATTTGTGAATATTATACGTTTTACGAAGGGCATGGGCCAATTTTTGCGTCTAGGGACCCTCTTGGGACGCATCCTGGAGGCCTCTTGGGGCCTCGTGGGGACCTCTTGGGCCGTCTTGGAGGCCTCTTGGCTCGTCTTGGGGCCATCTTGGCCGTCTTGGAGCGCTCGTTTGGCGTCTCGGGGCCCTCGTGGGCCGTCTTGGGGGCCTCTTGGAGCCTTCTGGGCCCGTCTTTTTTTTTTTCTAGCCCACCTGGTCAGATGTGATGGCGATGCGCCGCGGTCCAGGGTGGCGATGAACCACGGTAAACGGCAGAGCTCGCACTGGCACGACACAGAATATGAATGTTGTCGCCACGGCGTGCGGGGCCCACTCTCGGCGCACGCCGCGCACGTCCACCGCCAGCACGGTGGACGTGCACCACTCGGCGCGCACCGTGCATACAAACATGCAGCAATACCTCCTGGCCAGCACGGTGGACGTGCTCCACTCAGCGCAGCCTGGGAACTGTATACGAATTCGAAGGACTGACTGCCGCTGGCGGCAGCTTGCGGCAGCTGCGCGCTCGCTCGGGGAGACAGCCTCTGGCATCATGCGATGAATCAGCAACGGGAGAGAGAAGGAGAACCAGGAGTGAAGAAAGGCCGATCAAAACGGAGGGAGATTGCAGAGGGAGCGGAAGGAGAGAGAGAGCTGGATGCTCGCTCGGGGGACCTCCCTCTGTGCGGGCCACTCGTTCCACTCACGCTCCGGTGCTGCGTCGAGGGGCCGCATGGTGAAGGGGAAAGGCGGAGAAAAACAGGGCCTGCCGTGCACCACTGGGGAGGTCCCGCAGATGGCCCCAGGCCGGGCTCCACGGGGGCCTTTTGCTGCGGCAGCAAGGCCAGCAGCACGGCCGTGCAATCACAGTTGCTGCAGTGCGCGCACGGTCCCGTCGTCCGCACCCGTCGCCAGAAGTGAGAAGCATCAGATGTGCAGCATCGGGTCCGATCGACGGGCATCAATCCGGGCACCTCCACGGGCTGTCAAGGGAAGCCACGGTGCCGAAGTGTTCTGTCCTCACCTGTCCTGTTGCAGACGCGCAGGGTGTAGACTCGTATACAGCGGTGGTGCTACGAAACACCGACGCTGTCACAAACGGCGGCTATAAACCCACCAGAATCAGGGGGGAGAGAAACAGGGGGGAAGAAGTAGGGTCGAGGTTCATCGGAAAACGGGGCCGGAGATCTTTGGGCGAAGGTGCCGCGGTGACCTGCGCGCGCGCTCTCCAGGGACCCCATCCCAGGAGCGCCAGCGGGCAAATGGCACACGATAGAGGCCCCAGTGGCCTGGAAGCATCGGCCTGCGAAGAGAAGAGCCTTTCACAGTTGCACGGGACGACGTCCCGCGTGACGGGGCAAACTTGAAGGGGAACTGGAACACACAAATAAATACACACAAATAAAAATATCCCCCATATTTTCCAATATTTTCTGGGTTTCTGTCTTCCCCCCCACTTCCCATATTTTCCATATTTTCTGGGAATCGCCGATTAATTGTGTCTGTGTGTTTTTTTCCTCCTGAAAACTGAGGTACATTGCACCCTGCCCGCTGGGCCTGAGGGGGGAGGAGGCGTGAGCGCGACCACGACGAGGAGGCAACTCTTGTGCCCCCCTTCACCCTGGCAGATCGCTGAACACCAGGCTGAGCCGACGCTTGCAACGCAGCCAGCTGTCACTCGGCTGCCGGGCTGTTTGGCATGGAGTCCACTGCGGCGGCAGCGCAGGATCAATTGCGAAGCTCAGTAGGCGTACGAGCGAAACGACTGACACTCGTGCCACATTTAGAGAAATAGCTACGACCTCGAGCGGCCTCAGACCATCATTTTCTATGCGCGCTGCGGGGAGCCCATCCCAGAAGCACAGGCATGATATCAGCAGAGGAGGCATGATATCACTGTCAAGCCAAAGCTCTCGGCAAGACGAGAACAACACTGTTCTACATCGCGTGCTGTTGACGCAACGGCGACTCATCATGAAATCAAAGTGCTCAAGAAGCGCCATAGTGAACGCAGAGCGCCTCTGGTAACACGGCACAGGGCGCCCCAGCCAGAAACACTTCATGTGAGAAGCGTAGCGCGGTGAGAACTGCATCGTGAAGAAACAGAGAGAGCCTCCTGCGTCGATTTGCGCGTCAGGGACCCCACCCCAGAGCGCAAGCAGGGAGGTACAGAAGACCAGGTATGAGATCAGCAAAGGAGCAGCACGCGTACAATACGATACGTGATTGTGTGGTGTCGGGTTCCTCGCTGGCCCGTTCCGCTTCGACCCTCTGCTGCTCCTCGTGCCTGATTGTCGTGCCTCGATTGGCCATGCAGCATCTGCAGCCGGGCCCGGCAGACCTCGCCGCGGCCCCGACCGACCTCCGCAGATATGGACAATGCGCAGATGCTCGCCAAGATGTGCACGGCACGGGCGGCACTGGCCACGCACTCGTCTTGCAAGGACTGAGCGCGACGCGACGGCAGGCGTGGGCTCCGACGCCCTTCCCTCCCTCCCTCCCCCCCCACCCCCACCCCCCTCGCCGCTGACCCCGAGACCGCTGAGGAGGAGCCTTCGAGCACGCACCTCGCGAAGCCGCGCACCGCATCGCCCCCCCCCCCCCCCGCGAAGACCGCACACCCAGCGCGCGGGTGCTCAGAGGCTGAAGCTGGCCGCGGCCCCGCGGAACCGCCCGGGCGGCCCCGGGTAGCCGAGCGGGAGGCCCTCCGGCGCCGACCCGACGACGGGGGCGGGGCTCGCGCCGAGGCGGCAGGGCCCCGCGGCGGAGGAGCTGCCCGCGGCGCGGGAGGCGGTGGACGCGCCGGCGCCGGCGGGGCCCCCCCCGAGCCTCGGGCGGCGGCGCGCGCGGCCCTGGGGGCCGCCCGCGGCTGCGCCCGCGAGCTCCCCAGGACCGCGGCTGGTGAGTGCCCAGGGCGTCGCGGCGGCCGCGCGGCCCACGTCGTCGGCGCTCGGCGCCGCGCTGGCGCCCTCGAGGCGGCCGGGGAGGCGCGCGGGCACCTCGCCCGTGGTGGAGCTCTCCGGGTCGGCCCTGTGGCGGAGGTACGGCCATGCCTGGGGGTTCTTGACGCGGCGGGAGGAGGACTTGCGCAGCTTGGAGATGCTTGCCTCGATGCCCTGCGTTGCGGCGGGCCTCACGATGAGCTGCGCGCTGCCCGAGCCCGTGGCGACACCGTGGAAGGAAGCTGCGAACCTGCGCGCAGTCTCCCTCTCCATGAAATTTATGAACATGTAGCCCTTGTTGGAGTTCGTCTTGAAACAGAGGGGCACGTACAGAAAGTCATACGAGTCGTCATACCCCGAGGCGGCGAGCCAGCTCATCACCTGGTCACGGCTGATACTCGTTGGCAGATTCCCCACTATCAGGGTGAGCTCCGCCTTCGTGTCAGCCATCGATGTAAGCGTAAGCTGGTGCGAAATAGTCTGTCCTGTCGTGCGAGCTTGAGACGAGGGTGTTGCCTCCGCCCAGATTGACCCAATTCTTGAGCCCAAATGCTTGAGCCAAAATGGCTACGGAAGAGCCTTCTGGGCCCGTCTTGAGGCCCTTGTGGGCCCAAAAAAAGCTCTCGGCCCGGGGGGGGGGGGGGGTCAAATCTCCGGTTTGGGGTCCCTGGGGGGGGGGATTAGGGGGGGGGAACTATCTCACACGCCTAGAGACCCACAAGGGGGCGGCGGATTTGGAGGGGTGGGGGGGTCTATCCGGGCTGGCCAGGGGGGTACTTTGCTCCAGAAGTTCCGCCGGGAGGGCATCGAGGACCTCAAAACGGGCCACGAGGGCTCTTAGAGACCTCCCAGACGGTCCAAGAGGGCCCCGAGTCGCCGAAACATCGTCCCAAGACGCCCAAGATGGCCTCCAGACGGCCCAGGATGCCTCCAAGACGCCCCAAGAGGCTTCGAAGAGGCCTCCCAAGAGGCCCAATCGGTGATTGTCACTGGTGATTTCCAAGTCCTGGGCTTACTCGTCTGCTCTGGCCTCCGACGCTCGAAGACGGCCCAAGAGGCCCCCACGACCGCCACAAGACGGCCCAAGAGGCCCCAAGAAGCCCAAGACGCCCCAAGAGGGCCCCAAGACGGCCCAAAAGGACCGCAAAACAGCCCAAGAGGGACTCAAGAAGGGCCCAAGAAGGGGACCACGAACCGAAAATTCTAACTTTCCGCCCCAAGAGGCCCCTGGGAGGCCCCAAGAGGCCCGGCCCCAAGAGGCCCCCCAAAGACCCCCAAAAGGCCAAAAAGAGGCTCCAAAATAGCCCCCCAGAGGCCTCCAAACTGCCTCGGGCAGGCCCCCGATAGGCTTCTCACGAGATCCGAACGAATATCCAAGAGGCCTCCGAACCACAGCACAGACATGGTGGCGGGATGGACCGAAGGCCACTAGATGCAAATACAAGCATAAGTCAAGCAGCACCCAGAAGCCGCAACAGCGACTCTCCCCCAAGGGTTCGGCGGTGCAGCGTAAGCCAAATAATCTACTCATAACAATTTTGTAGTCGATCTCCTACTCGGATCGGGCCCGCACCAGAGGTCACTCCGGCGAAGGAGGAGAAGGAAGAGGAGGTGGAGGAGGAGGAGGCCTTTCTGACGGGGCCCTGGGGGGCCAGAAACATCAGGGCTCGGGCGATCTCGTGGGCCGTTTTTCGTCTCGACCTCGTTCTGCAGCAGGGGCGCCACCGAAGACAGCGAGGGAAAACGAGCACAGAACGAAACAACGGGGAGCACCGCTTGAGGTCGAGCCCCGTGACACATGTTATGTTTGTGTTTTTTTGCCTGCCCTCTCGAGAGTCTGGGCCCTGCGACGAAATCTATACACATCCACTGTTCCGTGGCCAGGCCCATCCTGAACCCAACAGCTGTGTACACGCCCTCCTGGCCAAGCCAGGGGGGCGTGGCGTACAGTAGACCCGCATGGCAAGGATGGGTAACCTTCCCAAGAATACCCTTGCGTCCTTCCCTCCTCGGTCCATCCTTGGCCACTTTCGTTGGCCGCGCCCCGCTCGAGAAAGCTCCGAAACGGCCTTCCAAGGCCCTTGCGTCCTCATCGTGCTTCCTTATGATACGGGTCGACCGTAATTACACACTGCTGCTGGGTTCAGGAGAGGCCTGGCCAGGGAGCGGTGGATGTGTATAGATCCCGCCGCCCTAAAATTGGGACACACACATTCTTGATATGGGTGCCGCAGATCTGCGTCGCCCTGCAATGAGGCCGCCGAAGATGTATGGATCTCGTCGCCCTGCTGGGGGCCCTCGCATCCTTACCTCCTCGGCCCATCCCTTGCCACTTTCGTTGGCCGCGCCCCGCTCGAAAAGCTTCGAGATTGGCGTCCAAGGCCCTTGCATCCTGATCGCGAATCCTTACTACACGGTTAACTGTATATGAGGGAGTCCGACCCCCTCGGCCCCACTCGCTCCGCCCTCCCTCGCTCCGCCTCCTCCTCCACCTCCTCCTCCTCCTCATCTTCCTCCTCCTCCTCCTCCTCCTCTTCCTCCTCCTCCTCCTCCTCCTCCTCCTCCTGCTCCTCCTCCTCCTCCTCCTCCTCTCCGCCCTCCTCCTCCTCCTCC